AACCAGACTGTAGGGTCCCCGGTTGTAGGAACCAGACTGTAGGGTCCCCGGTTGTAGGAACCAGACTGCAGGGTCCCCGGTTGTAGGAAACCAGACTGTAGGGTCCCCGGTTGTAGGAACCAGACTGTAGGGTCCCTGGTTGTAGGAACCAGACTGCAGGGTCCCCGGTTGTAGGAACCAGACTGCAGGGTCCCCGGTTGTAGGAACCAGACTGCAGGGTCCCCGGTTGTAGGAACCAGACTATAGGGTTCCCGGTTGTAGGAACCAGACTGCAGGGTCCCTAACAGTGGCATTCAGGCCGAAGGGCCTGGTAGATTACCTGGCTGTAGGTGTAAATGATGGCCTGGTTGTTGTGGGTCTGATGAGCCAGAGCTACAGCCTGATGGAGGTAGGAGGAGGCTGCCTGAAGATTCCCACGATGCAAACTGAGCTGCAACCAAAGTACAGATGTCAGTCCTCTCCCTGCTCCTCCAGGAGGTTCTCTCCTGGATACTGGTCTATGCTCCTTCTGATAGAAATATTTATTATCTCCAACAGGAACCAAACTAGTTCATTCAACATATTTGAATGTTTCTGATTTTTGGTGACATTCTTCTCTACGGTTCCCCCAAAGATCCAGAATGGGAACTTTTCTCTATCAGTTTACTGGTCAGTGCTGGTTTGGTGTCTGGCAGCTTCCTGGTTTGGTGTCTGGCAGCTTCCTGCTCCAGGTTCTGGTACCTTTGCTTTCTTTAGCAACAAAATCATTTCGTCCTTCTTCCTCTCAGCTTCGTCCTTCTTGTCTTCATCAGAGCTGCTGAATAGAGAGAAAGCTGTAGGGACACAGAACCAGAGGGACGGTTAGAGGGAAACCTGTCCTTCCTGCCTCTGTCCCTCCAGCTTCTATCCTGCCCAGCTTTGGCCTGCCCGCCTCTGTCCCGCCCGTCTCTGTCCCGCCCACCTCTGTCCCGCCCAGCTCTGTCCCGCCTGTCTCTGTCCCGCCCAGCTCTCCCGCCTGTCCCCCATCATGGTGGACTCTCCAGACGTACCAACTGCGGTCCACAGAGCACCGTCTCCACTTCTTTTCTGCTCCTGGCGTCCACTCCTGGCTTCCCAGAATGCTGTGCGGCTTCCAGCTTCAGGAACAACCGGAGCGCAGAGGACACAACGCCTGCAGGGGGCGATAGACTCTGTTAATGCAAACTGGGTCACTGAGCTGCTGCAGTCCAGCAGGTCTATGTGCAGCACCAGAGGAGAGGATCAGAACCCGTCCTTCCTGTGGCGGGCAGAGACTGATAGAATGGCGTCCTCCCCACTGCAGAGGGAACCTCAACAATTGGACCACTTTATCACCCGGGCAGCGTCCAACCGTCCGCCATAACCTCTACGTCCCTCCATCACTATAGAACAGGAACTTTATAGTGAACTCAATGAACTGACCTTTACACAAACTCCGCCTCCTCGCTTGGGGGCTGCGCCATCTTTGTTATTAGTCGCCACTGTCAGGTAGCGACAGCAGGCGGCTGTGACAACAAATCCCATGATGCTTTGGGAGGAGAGCTTTTCTCCCAAAGCATCATGGGATATATCTGAGTGATTATGGATCATCACTACTTTTTCATCCAGTAGACCTTGGTATCCGCTATATAATGATCATGGAGGAGTCGGACAGCCAGAGTCAGCATCAGCTCAGGCTCGCTGGATCAGGCAGCAGGTGTAACGGTGAAATAGAGTCAGAGGAAACACCTGCATTCTGATGTCAGTTCCTCTGGTTTACTTCCTTCATCACACAGACAGAAAATCACAGTAGGAAAAACAAACCAGACGTCATTAATCCCTAAACGGGAGGTCCTCTTTGAAACTGTTTTATTTGACTGATAGATTTTTTTGAAAGAAAATGGAAAATGTTTGTTTTTATGTTAGGATAGAATCTCGCCCTCTGGACCACCACCGGTTCGCCTCCTGGACCACCACCGGTCCGCCCTCTGGACCACCACCGGTCCGCCCTC